TAGTCTTAAAGACTCCTCAAGCACGCTCACTTGGATTCCTCGGTAATAGTAGAGAGCTCTCTTACTAATTGACGAGACAACCTTACAAAAGCTTTGTGATCCCCACTTAACACACTGGTTCCGGGCACACGTTACTTATGTCTGCGAAGAAAAGTCCTTAAATTGATTACAAACTTATCCACTACCTCAGATGCTACTGGGAGTGCGACAGCTGGTCAACGCGGGGGATAATTCCTTGCGTTTCAGCCTGCGCGCGTCCTCTTTTTATACTATTCTATGTCTTCTATTTATATTTATATGTCCGTGCTTTGTCCGAGAGGTCGGACGAATTAATACTGAATTTTTAGTAAAGGTTTGAAGTGGCTCGATTGTGCGTGGCACAACTGAGCTGACTTCTTTTAAGTTTTCGTAGTGTTTTCTCTATTGTGGCGACGCGACGCATCAGTATTGATGCGTACACGGGAATCGCCGTAAACGGTTTTCACGATCGGTTCAGCCGAGACGAACGGTCCGCTTAGTGATTTTCTCTCTATTATTAGATACTATGCCCGGGCCTCGGACCGCACGGCAAATCGTTCATAGTTTTTCTCTTTTGGCAGGCTTCGGAATATTTCACGAAGCTTAGTTTTCTTGGGTCAATGATGCCATGATTTGTGATGTGTTGATGCGCGTGATGCGCGTGATGCGCGTGATGCGTCTCTCCACATGACTTCTTGGATCATGCTTCGTAGCACGTGACCGAATGACTTCTCGCGTCGGGTACGCGTCGAGTTTCTACGCTCGCGCGTTTATCTTTTTAGAATTAATATCTTTTAATCCATAATAAAGTGAGACCCTGGTTTGGTGTAAACTCCAACACCCTGTGCGGGGGTGTTTTTACTCTAGAACACTCGGTAGCGTACTATTTCATGGTAGTGTAGCCTTTTATTAGACTTCGAGTGTATTGAGGTGATTCGGTCACGAACCGACCGCAATTCCTACTGTCTAAGGCGTGCACATTTCTCGGATGTAAACTTTAATCGACTAGACCGGGTTGCGTCTAACGATCCTTATGATCAATGTGACTGTATTTCTACTATAGGAGGTTTTATAGGAGAAATCGCTAAAATTCGCATTTTTACGGGTGTATTGTTACACTCCGTATCATCTCCCCCTCACTATAATACTGACCGTCCTCGGTCATCACTAGATCCCCGTATGAGGACGTTCCCCTCGTGTTTTTCTGGATTTTATATTGATATGTCTTCAAAAGATCACCGTCTGTCAAGCGTGTCTTTTATCTTTCGGCGTCAATTACTATTACTAGTGCAGGCGCGTTATTCTTCGAAGACATGACATCATATTCCTATTGTTGCCTAGGTACGCCTTAGTTGATTAACGTTTTTGACGTCCATTAAGATTTTCAGGGTCGACGGAACCGAGGGATTCTCAGCAATCTTCTCCCGTAGACTATTCTTCGGAAAGTGCCTCGCTATTCCGTATGTTCCGCCTGACGTTCCTATAAACTTCATGCTTTATGGGAGCGATTGTCACAATTTCTTTCTAACTTTCCCCACCATGCCTACCGCATTCCTTGGTTGTCGCGCCGCCGTTCAAGCGTTCGAAGTCGGCATTGACCTCTTCTCGCGTTCCCGCCTCAACGCTATGTCTGAGGCCGAGATTATGGCTATGCTATACCGCCTGCATAGTTATATGGTGAGTCTCTGTTCTTTTCTTTTATTCTCTGCTGATTTTAGACTTTTTATTGCCTTAGTTAGCATTGTTTTTAGACATCCTCGCTCGTCCTGGTGGTCCTACGCCACACGAGTCTCGTTTACTGGCGTCCGTTTACAATGCCGCCCAACGCGTTGAAGAACGCAACCAAAGTACTGCCTGGGAGGAATGGCTGCAAGAACCATTGGATGGTCATGCGCTTTATAGCCCTGTAAGTAACTTTCTTCCGTTCTTTCTTTTTATTTTTCTTCTAATGATTTTTATCTTTCTAGGGCGAATGCCTAGACTCCAGCTTTACCACGGGGTACATAGGAGAGGAGGACGCGCCGAGCGACCGCGGGTCTTCGTCACCTCCGGGGATCATTACTCCCCGAGGTCGAGCTCGTGTCGTTCAGTCCCCTTCTCCTACGGGATCCGATCTGTTGTTTCTACCGAGCCCTGGCCCAGAGTCCCTGCCAGTTTCCTCGCCTGACTCGACGCCGCCTGTCCCTGTTCGAAGGTCGAAGTGTACTCGTGCCATGGTCATGGACGAAGATTCGGATGTGGTCGAGATCATCGATCCTCCGTCTTCAACGCCCTTGAAGCTGGCTATTGGCCCTGTAAGTTTCTTCATTTTCCTCTGCTTAGACATTTTTACTAACTTTTTTGGTTTCTTAGCCAGGTAAACGACGCAAGATTATTGAGAAACCCTCGTCTGATGACGAGGCCATCCAACATCCCAACCGTTCACGTTCAAGCTCGTCGGACTCTGTACCTCTCGCTAGGCCTTTGCGTGCAGACAAGGGCAAGGCTCGCGCCAAGACGCCTCCGCCTGTTGCAGGTTCATCTCGAGTTGACAAGGGAAAGGCTCGCGCCAAGACGCCTCCGCCTGTTGCAGGTTCATCTCGAGTTGACAAGGGAAAGGCTCGGGCGAGGACTCCTCCTACTACTCGTAGTTCCGCCAAGCGTACTGCCTTTAAGCCACCGGTGGTCAAGCAGAAGGAAACTTCTGTTCAACCCAAGCGTCGCGGTCGCCCTCGTAAGAAGTGTAAGCTTTTTTCTCTTTCTCAATTTGCTTTTTAACTTTATAATTCGGGTTTTTTCCAGCTCCCGTTATTTTCCAAGAGCCCATCGTGTTCGACAAGAAGCGATTTAGTAAGTCGTTCTTCTTACTAGTATTTTGGTTACCCTGCTGACTTTCTTTTTAGAACGTGCCACCGCTAGATTTGGGCTTAAAGAGCTCCCCGCGGTTCTTAAGGGTACACAAATCCATGTATGTCTCCTCCTCTCANTTTTGTCTGAGTTTTCATAGGTACTGATACCTGGTTTATTAGATTGCCGAACCTTGCCTTCAGTGCTCCGCGCGCCAGGATTCCGTTGTCAAGAACTGCACCTTTCGTGGGTGGGGAACTCCCTGCGGTCCTGGCGGCGCGGCGCATGTTTCTTCGTGCGAGTACTATCTGAATGATGAACGCCGAGGGGCCGTCAGGGATGTCATCCGTAACCGGTTGGCTATTCATGCGCCTTCAGGTATGATTTTTATTTTTATTTTATAGTCTTTTTAATGACTTTTCACTTATTTTTCTAGCTATATCTGCGCTGATGGAGTCCATTGAAGAAGACACGCTTCATATGCGCACCCTATCCGCAGTCCTTGAGGCCATTCGCCATCGTCGCGACGCCAATCTTCGAGAGTTCGCAAACGCCATCGCGGACCTGTGTCTCACCGCCGAGCCTGGAACTCTTCTAGGCACTGTTTTCGAGACTCGCGAGGAGTTCGGCTCGTGGTACAGCTTCGTTCAAGACTTTGTAGATACTCAGGGGGTCCCAGTGCCTGCGGGTTCAACGACGGCCGATTTGGAGAGACTCGTCTCACTTTTTCAGCGAGACGATTCTCCTCCCATTGCTGGGCCTTCATCTCTGACACCTCGTCAACGCCGCGTCCGCTCGCTGTCCCTTATTCCTTCTATCGCCGTTGCTTCGCCTGGTCTTCCACCTTCCGCCCATTCTCAGGAGGAGGAGGAGGAGGTTATCGACGAGCTTGTTGACGAGGAGTAGGTGCGCTTGTTTTTACGGACTCTTTTACTTGGCATGCATTCGGACATCTTAGTTTTTTTTTTGGACTTTCTATATCAACCTTTTTGTGTCATTATCTTTTGTAGTTAGATTCTGCTGTCCTTATAGTAGAATCTTGACTTTGTCTTTCTTGAACTTTGAGATTTATTCCTAAGTGAGAGCCTTTTTGCATGCTTTCTAGAGTGTGAACTTGTGAATTTTCGACTTTATTTCGCCTTTTTCTATCAAATTCATTCTGCCTTAGGGTTTTATTGTCTCTAGTTCGCGTTTTTATGACTCTTTTCCCCTTGGTGGTTTTAGTGAATCATGAAATCGAATTTTTTATCTATCAAGGTAGCCTTGATCCCTCCCCCTCACTAAATATTGACTGTCCTCAGTCAAAACGACTAAGTTCATAGGTCACGTGGCGCGGGAAATCCAAGGCTCGGAAAGTTTATTCTATTTTTAGACGTGATCGCGCTGGAACGCGCAACTCCCAAATTTTTCACGCTTCAATTAAATTGCAACGCGGAATTTCGGAACGCGCACGCCTTGGTCTCAGACACACATATAAAAGCAGGCAGTGGCGAAAAATTTTCGGACAGAACAGTTTTTTGCTTTTCTACCACGCACTCTCATTTTACCACTCGCTCATTATGTCTATCCCACACAACGCTCTTCCCGCCGCTGTCAAGCTTCGCGAGTCCGCTCTCACTGCCTTCAAAACTTATCAGGACATGAAAGAGGGACTGAACAGCGCTGCCGCTCCCACCATTCTTGGCGTAGCCGCTAATTACTGTGTAAGTCGCGAATTTTTCTGTTATAAACTTCGTA